GTGTGAGTGTGTGTGTGAGTGTGGGTGTGAGTGGGGGTGTGGGTGTGGGTGTGAGTGTGAGTGTGAGTGTGAGTGTGAGTGTGAGTGTGAGTGTGCGTGTGAGTGTGAGTGTGAGTGTGAGTGTGAGTGTGAGTGTGAGTGTGCGTGTGAGTGTGCGTGTGAGTGTGAGTGTGAGTGGGAATGTGCGTTCGCATGCGGATGTGTGTAAGTTTTAGTGCATGTGGGACAGCGTGCTTGAGTGTGTGTGTGTGTGTGTGTATGTCATTTAAGAACGGGATGACTATAAACCAGCTCAAATTGAATGATGAAAAGACCGAGGTGATCCCCATTGCCACCGCTCAAAAGCTAAAATATATAAATAACACACCACCCCTTACTCTCTCAGGAAGACAGATAGAGTTTGCTCAAACAGTGCGAGACCTGGGTGTCTACTTAGACAGAACACTAACTATGGAAAATCACATTAACATGCTTTGCAAGGCGATTTTTCTAGAGCTGCGCAGAATTAGCCATATCAGACCTTTCTTAACATTAGACGCATCGAAGAGGCTGATCTCTGCATTCGTGCTATCACGTATGAACTATTGCAATGCTCTTATGGTGGGTCATCCAGCTACGCTCCTGGATTAAAATCAAAAAGCTCTGAAGAATGCGGCTCGCATTGTTCTTTGAAAACATAAATTCGAACATGCTAAAACACTTCTGAGAGAGTTGCATTGGCTGCCGGTCAGCGCTCGCATAAGGTACATAATTCTTGTATGCAGTTTTGTAATGTTGAATTTTGTACTTCAATGTGGTATGTACCAAGCTTCCAGCCTTTGGGGGTGAAGTGTGATTTTAAAATAATCTTGATTATTATTATGTGTGTGAGAGCGTGCGTGTGTGTGTATGAGCGTGTGTGTGTGTGTGTGTGTGTGTATGAGCGTGTGTGTGTGTGTGTGTGTGCGCGCGTGCATGTAGAAGTATTTAAGAGTCAGTCGTTTTTGTTTCCCAGATAGTAAATTTAAAAAAGTGAGTCAACAAAGGAACAGTGTGTCAACAAAGGAACAGTGTGTCAACAAAGGAACAGTTTGTCAACTAAGGAACAGTGTGTCAACTAAGGAACAGTGTGTCAATTATTTATCCCCGAATGTGAATTATGTGTGAAAAAGGTACCACATAACTGGTGTAATCTAATCATACAACTAACAGAACTTGGACAGTGTAAAGTAATCTAATCATACAACAACCAGAACTTGGACAGTGTAAAGTAATCGAATCATACAACTAACAGAACTTGGACAGTGTTAAGCAATCGAATCATACAAGTAACAGAACTTGGACAGTGTAAAGCAATCGAATCATACAAGTAACAGAACTTGGACAGTGTAAAGCAATCGAATCATGCAAGTAACAGAACTTGAACAGTGTAAAGTAATCGAATCATACAAGTAACAGAACTTGGACAGTGTAGAAACCTTTCCATAAACCAAACCCATCTTTTAATTCTCACTTCATCCAAAGCCATGTCTCTCTCTCTTACTCTGTCTCTCTCTCCCTCCCATCCACCATCTTCCAAAAATCCCCTCTTTCTCTCCCCTGCGCATCGCCCTTACATTGCTCCAGCAAATAGTGTTCCCTGTAGTGAGGAGTGAAATTCTTTTGGGCAGTTTTGTGCTGGAAATCATGTTCCGGATGGACTACAAAACATCTTATAATATTTTTTCCGATCTCTACCCCGATCTCATTGCGCACAGTGATGTGCCCCATTCCCTGCTTCCCTTGTCAGGCTTGATCACGTGCGCACCAGATGCATTCAAAAAAGCACGGTTTACCAATTAGCATGGTGTCAGTACACGTAAACACTCTGCTAAGTGCTAAGATGGCAGCCTAACTATCAGTACCTAAATAGAACAGCACCAGTAGCCGTCACCACCCTTTCTTTGTAGATTCAATACAGCTAAGCATTGGTGGCTATATGAAACGCCATCTGGAAATATTTTTTTCAACTGGAATATATGACCCGATGTTACCGGGACATTAATTGCACGTATATTGGGATAGCTTCGACCTGCTGTTGCGAAAAGTCATCATTATCCCTTTAAAGAAAGGATGTATGTAAATGATGGTTACATTTCTACCATCATTTAGTTTTGAGAAATATATATACCATATCCCAATTACCCTAACCATTTTGCTCCCTTGAAATATTTTTTTTTCTCTAGAAATTCTAAAGCATGATGTACAACAATAAAAAAATAGCTATACATGTATACATTTTAAATATATTTTACAATTAAGGAATTTGATATACTGATGTCTTCTTTTAAAAATTAATCAAACCTTTTCCCTTTTTTCTACTATATTATAGGAAAATCTTTAAAAATAAAGATTTAAAAATCTGTCACGTAATTAGGTTTTGAGATATGTGGATCAAATAGAACGATTGCAACGTCATGTGTTTTTTTTTCTTATTTGTGTGAGCAGAATGTAGGGTGGAACAGTGGCCATGGTGTGTGAGCAGAATGTAGTGTGAAACAGTGGACATGGTGGGAGAGCGGAATGTAGTGTGAAACAGTGGCCATGGTGTGAGAGCGGAATGTAGTGTGGAACAGTGGCCATGGTGTGAGAGCAGAATGTAGGGTGGAGCAGTGGCCATGGTGTGTGAGCAGAATGTAGTGTGGAACAGCTGCCATGGCTTGACGGAGCCTGGTATGCTAGCCAGAATGTAGTAGTGTGGAACAGTGGCCATGGTGTGTGAGCAGAATGTATTGTGGAGCAGTGGCCACAGTGGACCACAGCCACAGTGGAACGGAGTAAATCCAGGCTATGGGCCAGAGCCACAGTGGAACGGAGTAAATCCAAGCCAAGGGCCAGAACCACAGTTGATGGTGTAAACCAAAGCCATAGCGAAAGCTACAACGGACCAGGGTATATCTTAACCACTGACCAGAGCCATAGTGGACAGGAGTAAATCCAGACCACGGGCCAGAACCCAAGTGGACCGTTGTAAATCCATGCCACGGGCCAGAGCCACAGTGGACCAGAGTAAACGAAAGCTATGGGCCAGAGCCCCCAGTGAACAGCAGTAAACCAATGTTACGGGCCAGAGCCACATTGAACCCGTGTAAACCGAAGCCACGCACCAGAGCCATATGCCATTGTTTGTGCTTATCCTAAACTATGGGGCCCTTATGTGACATTCAGATATGACTCGCCACTGAATTAAATTCGATTTTTTACGGGACAGAACCCGGCCCCCTTCCATTCTAAGATGTTTATGTATTAACATTATATCATGTTAGATGGAAGTTAGGACAACTGTTCAATTATGTGCAATCAGTATTGAGGGCGTATTCTTGAGCTTAGCACGTCATGGACGATGATTTAAAAGCCTTAGGCTCAGATGGTATTTGCTGACAATGGGAAATAGTTTACATTGGTCACGTGTGCGGGGCGTAATGAGTCTAGGGGGGGAGGGGGGACATCTGGGGGATGGATGGGGTTAGTAAGTACAAGATGGTACACTGGGTCTATGATGGTAGAATATGAGCATGATGGTTCACTGGGTTTATGATAGTAGAATATGAACCAGATGGTTCACTGGGTCAATGATGGTAGAAATGAACCAGATGGTACAATTGGTCTATGATAGTAGAATATAAACCAGATGGTACACTTGGTCTATGATAGAATATGAACCAGATGGTTCACTGGGTCGATGATGGTAGAATATGAACCAGATGGTACACTTGGCCAATGATGGTAGAATAGATTTCAAAGCACAGACAACGCCAAGATGGGAATCTTTAAACTTGAAAAGCAGCCCATCTAAGAAAAGGCAAACCCTGGAGTCAACTGAAAATTGAAAAGGGGTGTCCATGAACCCTTTGAGAACCATCTAAAAAAATCCTTTTAACTACAAATGTTCGTTTGTCGGAGTAGTGGATTTAATCTTGCCTGCCGATACCACTGCAGTCCATTACTGTGCTACTCACGCGAGCAGCCAACTGTTGACGGCCATTTGTCTACAAGACCCGAGTCCACCAAGCCAGTTGACCTTTGTCTCCTGCATCTACAGTCAGTCGCCAACATGATCACAAAGATTGTCTTGTTCTGTCTAATCGGTCTCACATGTGGGTCATTTCTCAACCGTGAGTAGTTGAATTCATGGGACCGTCTTTGCTATGCTTAATAAGTACTTGAATTAGTGTGAGCTTCTTCTCGGTACTATGCAAGTAGTTGAACCAGTGTGATCATCTGTGTTGTGCCATGCAAGTAGTTGAACCAGTGTGATCATCTGTGCTGTGCCATGCAAGTAGTTGAATCAGTGTGATCATCTGTGTTGTGCCATGCAAGTAGTTGAATCAGTGTGATCATCTGTGTTGTGCAATACAAGTCGTTGAACCATTGTGATCATCTGTGTTGTGCCATGCAAGTCGTTGAACCAGTGTGATCATCTGTGTTGTGCCATGCAAGTCGTTAAACCAGTGTGATCATCTGTGTTGTGCCATGCAAGTAGTTGAATCAGTGTGATCATCTGTGTTGTGCCATGCAAGTCGTTGAACCAGTGTGATCATCTGTGTTGTGCCATGCAAGTCGTTGAATCAGTGTGATCATCTGTGTTGTGCCATGCAAGGCGTTGAACCAGTGTGATCATCTGTGTTGTGCCATGCAAGTCGTTGAATCAGTGTGATCATCTGTGTTGTGCCATGCAAGTCGTTGAACCAGTGTGATCATCTGTGTTGTGCCATGCAAGTCGTTGAATCAGTGTGATCATCTGTGTTGTGCCATGCAAGTCGTTGAATCAGTGTGATCATCTGTGTTGTGCCATGCAAGTCGTTGAATCAGTGTGATCATCTGTGTTGTGCCATGCAAGTAGTTGAATCAGTGTGATCATCTGTGTTTTGCCATGCAAGTAGTTGAACCAGTGTGATCATCTGTGTTGTGCCATGCAAGTCGTTGAACCAGTGTGATCATCTGTGTTGTGCCATGCAGGTCGTTGAACCAGTGTGATCATCTGTGTTGTGCCATGCAAGTCGTTGAACCAGTGTGATCATCTGTGTTGTGCCATGCAAGTAGTTGAATCAGTGTGATCATCTGTGCTGTCCTGTATTTCTTGTTGTAGTTAAGGTACGTTGCAACAAATGTATCGTACACTGTGTTTAGCCTGTGAACCCCTTCCTCCCCCCCCCCAAACGCCCGCCCATTTTTGTACTGCGATGTAACCTCTAATGTCATCAGTGAAGTAAAATACAAGACCGAACTTTAAGTCTGACAATCTCGCTGGCTGTTTTAAGAAAACTTCCGAAGTTATTGTTGACTTTTCATAAGTAGTTTTTAAAAGAAAATTTTTGACTGTCACTCAACTTTGGGGGGGGGGGGCAAGACCGTGGTATAATCAACAGGTTGTACTGCAGGCCAAAACAAAATAAATAACTTGGCCAAAGGACAAACATTTTCTTTAAAAAACGACCGTTACATATAGTGATCAATTATTTTCTAAATCAGACATTCCGCTTCAACAGGGTAGACATAAATATTTATGGTGAACTATGTGTCCGTTCACAGCCCGCCCCCCCCCCCAGGCATAAATCGGCTTCTGGTCAAATCGAGACTGGTTGTGTCATGCTTTAAACCCACCTTTGGCTAAACATGGTCTCATAAAAATAGTTCAGTGAACTTGTTCAAATATCTGTTAATGCGCAGAAACGAAAAGAAAGATACGTTTTATGGAGTTTAAACCCAAAGACAGACAAAGTTTTATTGGAGTTGAAACACGAAGACAGACATGACCACAGGTCATGTCTTTAACATTCCATGTACAGGGATTTTGTAAAAATGCAAAAGTCTTAATTTTTTTTTTTTTTGGGGGGGGGGGGAGGTTTGGAAAAAAAAAAGTCCCATACCATGAAGGGTTTAAAATATCTGTGTTGTGCCATGCAGGTCGTTGAACCAGTGTGATCATCTGTGTTGTGCCATGCAAGTCGTTGAATCAGTGTGATCATCTGTGTTGTGCCATGCAAGTCGTTGAACCAGTGTGATCATCTGTGCTGTGCCATGCAAGTAGTTGAATCAGTGTGATCATCTGTGTTGTGCCATGCAAGTCGTTGAACCAGTGTGATCATCTGTGTTGTGCCATGCAAGTCGTTGAACCAGTGTGATCATCTGTGTTTTGCCATGCAAGTAGTTGAACCAGTGTGATCATCTGTGTTGTGCCATGCAAGTAGTTGAACCAGTGTGATCATCTGTGTTGTGCCATGCAAGTCGTTGAATCAGTGTGATCATCTGTGTTGTGCCATGCAAGTCATTGAATCAGTGTGATCATCTGTGCTGTGCTATGCAAGTAGTTGAACCAGTGTGATCATCTGTGTTGTGCCATGCAAGTCGTTGAATCAGTGTGATCATCTGTGTTGTGCCATGCAAGTCGTTGAATCAGTGTGATCATCTGTGTTGTGCCATGCAAGTCGTTGAATCAGTGTGATCATCTGTGTTGTGCCATGCAAGTAGTTGAATCAGTGTGATCATCTGTGCTGTCCTGTATTTCTTGTTGTAGTTAAGGTACGTTGCAACAAATGTATCGTACACTGTGTTTAGCCTGTGAACCCCTTCCTCCCCCCCCCCAAACGCCCGCCCATTTTTGTACTGCGATGTAACCTCTAATGTCATCAGTGAAGTAAAATACAAGACCGAACTTTAAGTCTGACAATCTCGCTGGCTGTTTTAAGAAAACTTCCGAAGTTATTGTTGACTTTTCATAAGTAGTTTTTAAAAGAAAATTTTTGACTGTCACTCAACTTTGGGGGGGGGGGGCAAGACCGTGGTATAATCAACAGGTTGTACTGCAGGCCAAAACAAAATAAATAACTTGGCCAAAGGACAAACATTTTCTTTAAAAAACGACCGTTACATATAGTGATCAATTATTTTCTAAATCAGACATTCCGCTTCAACAGGGTAGACATAAATATTTATGGTGAACTATGTGTCCGTTCACAGCCCGCCCCCCCCCCAGGCATAAATCGGCTTCTGGTCAAATCGAGACTGGTTGTGTCATGCTTTAAACCCACCTTTGGCTAAACATGGTCTCATAAAAATAGTTCAGTGAACTTGTTCAAATATCTGTTAATGCGCAGAAACGAAAAGAAAGATACGTTTTATGGAGTTTAAACCCAAAGACAGACAAAGTTTTATTGGAGTTGAAACACGAAGACAGACATGACCACAGGTCATGTCTTTAACATTCCATGTACAGGGATTTTGTAAAAATGCAAAAGTCTTAATTTTTTTTTTTTTGGGGGGGGGGGGGAGATTCGACATAAAAGAGTCCCATACCATGAAAGGTTTCAAAACAGTTGGCCTTGACTGCACAATTTGACACGTCATCGTGGTCTTCTTGTCACTCTTGGCACATCCTGTTTGTGTTGCTGGGAAGGCCACAACAATGTCTTTCATGGTCGGAAAATCCTGTATGTGTTGAGTTAAACAAAATAATATCCTTAATGGTCGGCACGTCCTTTTTGTGCTGGGTTGGCCAAAATAATGTCCTTCATGGATGGCCCCATGCCGTTTGTGTTGGGAAGGCCAAAATAATGGCCTCATGGTCGGAACATGCTGCTTGTTTTGGGTTGGCCAAAATAGTTTCCTTCAAGTCAGCACATCTAGTTTTGTGTTAGGCTATACACAATAATGTCCTTCATGGATAGCACATGCTGTTTGTGTTGGGTGGACCAAAACAATGGCCTCATGGTCGGAACATGCTGCTTGTTTTGGGTTGGCCAAAATAGTTTCCTTCAAGTCAGCACATCTAGTTTTGTGTTAGGCTATACACAATAATGTCCTTCATGGATGGCCCCATGCCGTTTGTGTTGGGTGGACCAAAACAATGGCCGTCATGGTAGTCACTTTCTTTTTGTTTTGGTTTGGCCAAAATAATGCCCATAATGGTCGGCACATCCTGTTTGTTTTGTGTTGACTAAAATAATGCCCTTCATGGTGGAAGCGTCATGTTGCCCATGTTGCCCATGCTCGGTTTTAGCTCTAAACGAATCTCGTGGCAAATGTTGAGAGTGCTTGTGAACATATCAAATCACATTTTCTGTAGTAACTTAGAAAAGATCCATTTGATTTGTTTGATATACTGGCGTCAGTTAATAAACGGAGGTGCATTTGAATTGAGCCACGGTTTTAACCATTTAACCGGGGGGGGGGGCTGCAAATAACATATTTTCAATGCGGATTTGATAAGATATTTGCTAATATTTTCATCCACCTGTCGGGCCCCTCCCAATAACAGTAGCGATACTCCACGTTAGAATGGCTGTCAACACATTACTAAAAAAAAAATGTTATGAAATTATGACTAATCAGTATGCTGGTAATATCAAGGACTCGAGTGGTCACATCTTAAATTCGGCTTTAAAAAGAAAAAAAAATACTGCTGAGAACACCATTCCTTGAAGCCACGTGTAGAAACCCTAGTAGAGGGCGTCTGTGCAGAAACCCTAGAAGGGCGTCTGTGCAGAAACCCTAGAAGGGCGTCTGTGCAGAAACCCTAGAAGGGCGTCTGTGCAAAAACCCTAGAAGGGCGTCTGTGCAGAAACCCTAGAAGGGCGTCTGTGCAGAAACCCTAGAAGGGTGTCTGTTGCCACCCCAGGATGGGAGGGGGTCTTTAATTGATGTTAAGATATATCGATCCCAGCCCATTTGAAGCTCTACTGCAGGGGCTGTTAGAGCAGCATCACCAGATGACCAGATGTTGTGAGAGAATCACCACCAGATGATCAGGTGCTGTGAGAGCAGCACCACCAGATGACCAGGTGCTGTTAGAGCAGGACCACCAGATGACCAGGTGCTGTAAGAGCAGCACCACCAAATGACCAGATGCTGTGAGAGAATCACCACCAGATGACCAGGTGCTGCGAAATCAGCACCACCAGTAGACCAGGTACAGTAAGAGCAGCACCACCAGATGACCAGGTGCTGTGAGAGCAGCACCACCAGATGACCAGGTGCTGTGAGAGCAGCACCACTAGATGACCAGGGGCTGTGAGAGCAGCACCACCAGATGACCAGGTGATGGGAGAGCAGCACCACCAGCCCACAAGGTCCTGTAAGAGCAGCACCGCCAGATGACCAGGTGTTCCAGCATTGATGGCGCCCCACTCGTACAGTCAGTCGACTGGAAGATGGGTTGGGCTGTCTCAGGGGCGGGATGCCCCCGCCGTGCAGCCTCGCGGCCCGACACGAATAACCTGGATGGCCGAATTCAGATACTTAGGATCTTCTAGTGTGTCTCTATTATCAACGTTTTGCTTTAGATATCCTAGTGTGTCTCCATTGTCACAAGTGTTGCTTCAGATCTCCTAGTGTGCCTCCATTATCACAAACTGGGCATCAGTTTTATCCTGGAATTTCGGTCCAGAAACATGGCAAAGCTCTTAGTTTCAGTTTTTATCGTCATGGCTATCTCACTGAATTTCAAAAAGTCTTCTAGTGGCATGACTCACACACAGACACACACAATCACTGGTAATACTCAATATTCTTGCATTTTCCTCCATTTCATCAGAATATCATTTGTAGTAAGAATTGTTCTCACTTTGAAGGCTAAAATAATGTGAAACTTCACGTGAATATCGCTGCAGTTTAATTTCGTCAATTGATTGGGGCGCACAAAGACAGCTAAGTTTGTTCGGAGGGTGGCGCTGGGCATTTGGTAGGCTGCGTTGTCATTGGCAACGAATCTGTGTTCCAAGTTTTTGCCCGAAAGTTTGACGGCGGGTGGGTCAGTTAGCTTTCCGAAGATTTTGCCACTTTGGGTGGCGCTTGAGGGATTGAAATAACGTGTATTTTGACCGTCGTGAGTTACTGGTTGCTACAGGAGGCCAGTCAACGATCAATCTCTTCTCTTGCAGGTGCCGTTTGTTCCTTTCAAAAAGATACAGGACCTTGTAGAGCCAGTTTCCCAAAGTACTACTACAACCTTAATACAAAAAATTGTCAGCCGTTTATCTACGGAGGATGCAGTGGAAACGCAAACAGGTTTAATACAGTGGATAAGTGCATGGCCGCCTGTTCTATGTAAACTGCACTGACCTTCAAACATTGTGAAGCTGGACAATGTATGACCAGTGCAGAAATCTGTTGTTGACTGATGGACTTAGAGAAGCTGTATCTTTAGAGGAAGCTCAATAAAAAAAACTCACACAAAATAAGCAGAGACGTGTTTTAAACAAAAAAATGTGTGCGATTCGGAACTCGTGCGTGTGTGTGTGTGACGTTGTGTTTGCGCGCGTGTGTGCACGTGTGCATTTTTTCGTGAATGTGCGCTCACTTGTGTGTGCTTGTGTGAGTTTAAGCCGTAGACTACGCAACTACGGTGAGCTTAAAAAAAAAAATAAGGGCATTTTTCGTTTTATTATCTTTTGTTTTTGTTGGATTAAAATCCAAATAAATGGTCTTTTTACAGTAAAAGTTTACTACTCGAATTAACGCAATATAACACATAAAAATATCTAACTGAATTACACATAAGAAAAGTTCTAACTCAATAAACAAAAGAACAGGTCTAGCTTAATAAAACAAATGAAAAGCTCTAGCTCAATAAAACGAAAGGAAAGGTCTAAGTCAATCAAACAAAAGAATGTATCTAACTCAATCAAACAAAAGAATTATCTAGCTCAATCAAACAAAAGAATGTATCTAACTCAATCCAAAAAAAAAAAGAAAAGATCTAACTCAATAAAACATAAGAAAAGATCTAACCCAATCAAACAAAAGAATGTATGTAAATCAATCAAACAAAAGAATGTATTTAACTCAATAAAACATAAGAAAAGATCTAACCCAATCAAACAAAAGAATGTATGTAAATCAATCAAACAAAAGAATGTATTTAACTCAATAAAACATAAGAAAAGATCTAACCCAATCAAACAAAAGAATGTATGTAAATCAATCAAACAAAAGAATGTATTTAACTCAATAAAACATAAGAAAAGATCTAACCCAATCAAACAAAAGAATGTATGTAAATCAATCAAACAAAAGAATGTATTTAACTCAATAAAACATAAGAAAAGATCTAACCCAATCAAACAAAAGAATGTATGTAAATCAATCAAACAAAAGAATGTATTTAACTCAATAAAACATAAGAAAAGATCTAACCCAATCAAACAAAAGAATGTATTTAACTCAATAAAACATAAGAAAAGATCTAACCCAATCAAACAAAAGAATGTATTTAACTCAATAAAACATAAGAAAAGATCTAACCCAATCAAACAAAAGAATGTATTTAACTCAATAAAACATAAGAAAAGATCTAACCCAATCAAACAAAAGAATGTATTTAACTCAATAAAACATAAGAAAAGATCTAACCCAATCAAACAAAAGAATGTATTTAACTCAATAAAACATAAGAAAAGATCTAACCCAATCAAACAAAAGAATGTATGTAAATCAATCAAACAAAAGAATGTATTTAACTCAATAAAACATAAGAAAAGATCTAACTTTATAAAACAAGAGAAAAGTTGTCTTAATAAAACAAGAGGAAAATTCTAACTTTATAAAACAAGAGGAAAATTCTAACTTTATAAAACAAGAGGAAAATTCTAACTTTATAAGGCAAGAGAAAATTTCTAACTTAATAAAACAAGAGAAAACAGATTTATTATCCACGATCATAAATCCAAATTCATTACGTCTGTACATTAAATAAAAAAATTGATTGGACTGATTGAGAATGTTGATATGATGTTTTACATTCACAGTCTATCACATAAAATGCGTCCAGAAGAGACATACACTAACATATTATGAAAATATCTCTATTTGCATGATGATGTGAACGATGACGTGAACGATGACGTGCATGATGATGTTCGTGATGACGTGCATGAGCACAACAGTTAATTTGGTGCAAAACTGACCTATCCAGAATACGCATCACACGTAGACTAGAACTTTCCCATGTCAACCAGCCCCGGGTGATGTCAAGCAACTGACCAACTACTGACCAACTGACCAACTGCTCAACTGCTTTTCTCAGGATTTATTTCCCTGAGTGATGTCAAACAAGTGACCAACTCTTAGGCTAAGGTCATATATCCCAGAGTTCACATCCAAGAACTTTCCGAATGATGTCAAAAAATTGACCAACTGTTAAGCTACGGTCACATATCCCTAACGTACACATCCCAGGACTCGACTGATGATATCTAAACCAGGACGTACAAACGCAGCGCGTGGAGCAAATATCGATTAACTTATTTTCGCGTTCCGCCAATCAACCACAGGTAACATCTTGTCAGATGTTCGAAACTTTAGGGCAGTCCATTGGCAGTGTTTCGTAGCATCGTCGTCTTACGCTTTGTAAAATATGGCACTAGAGGATACACATTTTAAACCCATATTTCAAACACATTAGCAAACAGCTAAGGATAAGCATGCTGAAATGAACTAGCTCATGGCATAGTCTAATCCATAGTTGTTAACCACATAGGGTTTTAACCTACATCTCAACGCACAGATGCGCCATGGGTTTTATTAATATGACATATTGCTAATATAAAATTTGATACGCAAATGGTTAGTTACGACAATAGGTATGGTCATTTAGATGAAAATATAACATTGCTACCCATTTCTTTCGCAGTTGTGACAACAGAAATGGTCCTTCAACCAGAATCATCCGTTACATACTAAAATAAAAATTAAAAATTAAGTTATATACTGGTTAACTTTGTCAACATCCCAATGCAACATTAAGTACGGTTTGGAACATTCAAAGACTTATAGTAACAGACGAACTGTCTTGTTAAATGGTAGCAAGAGAAGGCTCTGGTCATCTATTATAGATGTCCACGTCCTAACGACGGTCTGGTCTAATTTAACGTGTACTTAATCAACGACTGAGAAAGGCAAAGGCGGGTAGCTCCTTCAATAATTCATGGTAACGCGTTGGCCAGAGCTGCCAGGCCTCGTGGACCAAATTATTCTTGGAGCAAAACAATGCTGTTGTGTACATCCTAGGCCATACACTTACACTGTGTCAGTTGGCTCAAACGAAAATATTCTTTCAGTTGGCCCAAACAAGTATGTTCTTTTGGCAAACTAGACCTTCACTCCGTCCCTTGGACCAAACAAGAGTGTTCTTGTAGCACCCTACACGTCTCTGTCCCTTGGACCAAACAAGAGTGTTCTTGTAGCACCCTACACGTCTCTGTCCCTTGGACCAAACAAGAGTGTTCTTGTAGCACCCTACACGTCTCTGTCCCTTGGACCAAACAAGAGTGTTCTTGTAGCACCCTACACGTCTCTTTCCCTTGGACCAAACAAGAGTGTTCTTGTAGCACCCTACACGTCTCTGTCCCTTGGACCAAAAAAGAGTGTTCTTGTAGCACCCTGCAACTCTCTGTCCGTGGTAACAAGCAAGTGTGTTCTTGTAGCACCCTACACGTCTCTGTCCCTTGGACCAAACAAGAGTGTTCTTGTAGCACCCTACACGTCTCTGTCCCTTGGACCAAACAAGAGTGTTCTTGTAGCACCCTGCAACTCTCTGTCCCTTGGGCCAAACAAGAGTGTTCTTGTAGCACCCTGCACCTCTCTGTCCCTTGGACCAAGCAAGAGTGTTCTTGTAGCACCCTACACGTCTCTGTCCCTTGGACCAAACAAGAGTGTTCTTGTAGCACCCTGCACATCTCTGTCCCTTAGACCAAACAAGAGTGTTCTTGTAGCACCCTGCACCTCTCTGTCCCTTGGACCAAACAAGAGTGTTCTTGTAGCACCCTGCACCTCTCTGTCCCTTGGACCAAACAAGAGTGTTCTTGTAGCACCCTATACGTCTCTGTCCCTTGGACCAAACAAGAGTGTTCTTGTAGCACCCTGCACCTCTCTGTCCCTTGGACCAAACAAGAGTGTTCTTGTAGCACCATACACCTCTCTGTCCGTGGTACCAAGCAAGTGTGTTCTTGTAGTACTCAACACTTCTCTGTCCGTGGGACCAAACAATAGTGTTCTTGTAGCACCCTAGGCCTCTCTGTCCCTGAAGGGATCTTCGTATTTAACAAGCTCAGTCTACTTTGCTAGCCGTTACTATACAATTCTATAACTGTAGTAGTGATCCGATTAGCTTACAGGCACCTGTCTATAATTGTGGTATTGCCATTGCAGATAGGGAGTGTAGTCAACTCAACACATGTATCAGCTTGTGCCATTGCAGATGGGGAGTGTAATCAATTCAACAAATGTATCAGCTTGTGCCATTGCAGATGGGGAGTGTAGTCAACTCAACAAATGTATCAGCTTGTGCCACGGCAGATGGGGAGTGTAGTCAACTCAAAAAATGTATCAGCTTGTGCCACAGCAGATGGGGAGTGTAGTCAACTCATCAAATGTATCAGCTTGTGCCACAGCAGATGGGGAGTGTAGTCAACTCATCAAATGTATCAGCTTGTGCCACAGCAGATGGGGAGTGTAGTCAACTCATCAAATGTATCAGCTTGTGCCACAGCAGATGGGGAGTGTAGTCAACTCATCAAATGTATCAGCTTGTGCCACAGCAGATGGGGAGTGTAGTCAACTCATCAAATGTATCAGCTTGTGCCACAGCAGATGGGGAGTGTAGTCAACTCATCAAATGTATCAGCTTGTGCCATGGCAGATGGGGAGTGTAGTCAAATCATCAAATGTATCAGCTTGTGCCACGGCAGATGGGGAGTGTAGTCAACTCAACAAATGTATCAGCTTGTGCCATGGCAGATGGGGAGTGTAGTCAACTCAACAAATGTATCAGCTTGTGCCATTGCAGATGGGGAGTGTAGTCAAATCAACACATGTATCAGCTTGTGCCATGGCAGATGGGGAGTGTAGTCAACTCATCAAATGTATCAGCTTGTGCCACAGCAGATGGGGAGTGTAGTCAACTCAACAAATGTATCAGCTTGTGCCACGGCAGATGGGGAGTGTAGTCAACTCATCAAATGTATCAGCTTGTGCCATGGCAGATGGGGAGTGTAGTCAACTCATCAAATGTATCAGCTTGTGCCATGGCAGATGGGGAGTGTAGTCAACTCATCAAATGTATCAGCTTGTGCCATGGCAGATGGGGAGTGTAGTCAACTCATCAAATGTATCAGCTTGTGCCATGGCAGATGGGGAGTGTAGTCAACTCATCAAATGTATCAGCTTGTGCCATGGCAGATGGG